AATCAAGGGCAAAATAGATCTTTAAAAATCAAGACTATTTTCTTTTGGAGATTAGCCACTTCTCCAAACTTCCCATGCTGAAGGCTTAAACTGCTACCCCTACCCCCTCCTCTCAGTTCAGACGAATGGACAGAAGAACAATGTCTGTCAGAAAACTAGCATATCCATCTAAAAGAAATAAGCAGAAGTGGCCCAGGAGGTCAGGGTCCAGAATGGCTGGGCAGGGTTTTGTGTGTACGGACAGAAACAGCTTGGGCATTGCCTCGCCTGTTCTCACTGTATTCCTCCCTCTCTCCTTTGCTATAAAAGCCTTTGCACACATGAACACAGGAAGACACTTGAGACAAAGGTCTCTTTGTCTCCCTCAGAACTAGCTTTGAACAACCTTTTTTTTCCCCTTTCTACTGAAAGTGCCCCAGTGCTTCTTGGGGAGCAAATGGGCAGTTGGGAGCTTCATGGCCAGTGTCATCTGTGTATGCTATGGATTGAAGGCTTCTTTTTCACCACAAAGGCAGTGTTAAGGATCCGCAATCACATCTTATGGCCCACGAAACCATCAAGATAGCTGCTATTTGGGCTGATCAAAGAAAATCTGCTGAGCCTTATAGTTAAGTCAAGAGACCACAATGTAACCTCAGACAAGAGCCTGGATCTAAGCCTCAAGTGGCCTCATTTGTAAAAGGAAACCTCAGCACACATCTCGTGCACAGTGAAGGATTAACCCAGGATATCTGGATTATTTATACCCTCATAGCAAAAAGCTTGGCCTCTGACCTGCTCCGGGAAGGTCATTTCTAAGCCCTTGGAATGTCTTTCCCAGTGTTTTTTTAGGGGTCTGGGGTCATGGCAGACACCCTATGCTAACAACGTGATTTACCTTGGGGACCCTGGGCCACGGGGTTGGCCACTCAGTGAGACTGCACAATGAGGTCAGCCCTAACTTTCTTCTCTCTCTCTCTTTTCTTTTTTTGGTACCAGGGATTGAACGCAGGACCTTGAGCTTTCGAGGCAGGCGGCAGAACCACTGAGCTACATGCCCAGCTAGCCCTGCCTTTGTGTCTGATTCCAGTAGAAATGGCAACTTGGGGCTCAGGTGGTTACAAGACTCCGTGTATGTGACCACATTCTGTTTCGGGGACAGGACGCTGGAAGGACTTCTGATGCCTGGCTGTCTCCTGGACCCTGCCTCATGTGTCTTCCCTTCGTTGATTTTAATCTGCAGTATTCTGCTGGAATCAACTCTAACCACGATAAACAGTTTTGTCAACCTGCGAGTTCTGGCAGTTCACTGAAACCTGAGGGTGGTCTTGGGGACCCCTAAACATTACATTGTATTGTAGGAATGCAATGTGCTAACACATGCTTGGGTATTTAACAGTGGTTAGTGGGCATAGTATAATAAAGCTTAATATATGCTGATCATCAAACTATTAATCAAGCAGTCTGAGATTTTTATTCTTGTTACATGACACCTATAGTACTTAAAAACTATTTTCAAATGAGGTTTATATTCTTTATTCAACAATTATTTGAGTATCACCAACTGCTCTAAGATCTGAAGACTCAGTAGTAAACAGACTGGACAAAGTCCTTGTCTTTACAGAGTTTCATTCTAGCAGGAGGAGACAGAGAAACAAGAACAAGTAAATGTATACAGGAGGTCATTCCTAATCTCAAGATCTGAAATCCGAAATTCTGAGAATTCAAAACTTTGAGTTTACCTGATGCACTTATAATGGCGGGTGGAAAGTCAGTCATTAGCAGTTTGGAGACAGTGGCTGAGGGCTACTTGAAAAGCAAAAGTATGATTTTTTTTTTCCTTCACTTTCTTTTTTTGGTACCAGGAATCGAACTCAGGGCCTCATACTTGCCAGGCAGGCACTGCACTGCTGAGCTACATCCCTGGCCCTCCTTCACTTTCTTTTTTTTCTTTTTCTTTCTTTTTTGGTACCAGGGATCGAACTCGGGACCTTGTGCTTGCGAGGCAGGCTTGTGAACCACTGAGCTAAATTCCTGGCCTTCCTTCACTTTCTTAATCATTAGCTATACATAAGATCTCCACAAGCTCGTGCACTCAAACTTTAGCTCAAGAGATGTAACATCCTCTAAGTGTACTGAGAGGTGCAGGGCACACACAACATCCAGACCTCAGCTGAGGGGTTGGAAAACCTCAAGGTCTCAAGCTAAACCGGAAGCATCCGCCTAAGGAGTAAACAGGAAACCCCCTTCTGTCCAGACTAGGTCAACATGGCCCATTCTGTTCCTACAACAGTAAGTCAGGGGTCACTACAGGGATGGGAAACAGGCAGAATCCTGGGCTCTTACCTGCTGCCCATTGAAAACATCATTTGTGTTCTCTTGGGACAGTCAGGGACTTAGCCACTTTTGGGATGAACCTTAACTCTTCACTTGGGCCTACAGATACCCAATAGGTAATAACTAAAAGAACAAGTTTTGACTTTCATTTTGTATCCTTTGTTGCCATAAAACTTGGGCCAAATTCCTTCTCAGCTCTCTATATAGATAAATTGATCACTTAGGGAATGTCTGTCTAAAAAAGCAAGGTTGATTAGCCCTTAATTTATATGATCTCACCCCCTTCAAGACTGAAGACACCTGGATGATTTCCAGGGACTTTCAATTATGCCCGAGAAGTCTCCAGCCACTGTCCTGAACCCATGATCTCCTTGGAACAAAACCATCTCCCACCCATAAAGATTCCAGAACTGTGACACAGACTGAGACAATGACCAAAAGGCTCTCAGCGAGCCCGTCTGAACCCTTGTTTTGGAATGTGTCTCCTCCAGCTATTTAAGTTGGAATCTTGTCCTATCTTTTAACCTTCCAAGTAGAACTCCATAAATTTGTGCTTAGGTTTTAATTTCTATTATTACTAAAAGCAAGGATTTAAGCTAGCCAGCAACACACCAAGATACTCATAATTTCAGATTTTTAAATTCATACCTATCTATGCAAACACACCAATTTCAAAAAGCTCAGAAATCTGGAACACTTCTGGTCCTAAAGCATTCTGGATAAGGGATACACAACCTGCTAGCTCCTAACTGCAAGAAAGGGAGATATAAAATTTTGGGAAAAAGGGAACAAAGTGCATTATAGGTTGGATGGCCAGGGAAAATACCCCCGAGAACATGGTATGTGAGAAAAGACATGAAGGAAATAAACCTTTTAGTTTCTGTACTGAGTTACATTCCCAGCCCTTCCTTTTTTAAAATTTTTTGAGACAGGGTCTTGCTATGCAGTTCAGGCTGGCCTTGAACTCAGTGATCTTCCTGCCTCAGCCTTCCTAGTACTGGCATTACAGGTGTGCAACACCACCCCTGATTTAAAAATTTTTAATCAATCCATTTTTTATTAAAAAAAATTTTAAAAAAAACTTTTGAGATGGGATCTGGCTGTCAATAAATGTCCCGATCTGGGCTCAAACCTGTGATTCACCTGCCTCAGCCTCCCAGAGCGCTGGGATTAAAGGCCTGTGCCACCACATCCGGCTCAGGATACTGGTCCAGAGCTGCATAATGTTGATATGAAAAAAGTTTTTAGATATCGTGTGACAGTAAAGCCAGCAAGATTTCCTTATAGTATAGAGAATGAGGAAAAAAAGAAAATTCAAGGTTTGAGGCCTAAGCAATCAAAAAGGATGGGGTTTGCCATGAATAGGAAAGATTACAGAAGGAGCTGGTCTGTGGTAGGGGAGAGGATTCAGTTTTTAAATGTGTTACATTTAAAATGCCTATCTGGATATCCAAGTAGAAAAAGCAAGGCAGCACTACATTTAGTAGAAAGGTCTGTAGTTCAGAGAAGAAATCTGGGCTACAGATACAAAGAGCTTTAGCACATAGGTTCTACTGACACAGAGAAGTTTGAAGAGCCCGCCTAGGGGCAAACCTAGGTGGAAAAAAAGGACAGATTCATGGTTTGGGCTATCAGTCACTCCAGACATGTCCTGAACCAGGAGCTCAGGACAAACCACAGAACTGGGAAGTGGCAGACAGAAAGCTAGAAACGAAACCAGGCAAGTCTGTTTTTTTTTTTTCCTAGAAGCCAAATAAAAAATGTCTCAAGGAAAGAGCAGTCAGCTATGCAAAAACTGATGACAGGTTTAAGACTTAAGACTGAGATGTGTCCATCATGTCCAGCAACGAGGATGTCTCTGAAGAGTAAGAAGGGCAGCTCTGTTGGAGACAAGGACGTATGACAATGACCACCTCTACCCAAGTTTTCCTTTTGAGAGAAAAGACAGAAGAGATGGAAGAACTGTAATCAGCCAGTTCATCCATTACACTAGAAGAGAGCTGGAGTTCTGGAGTGAATGAGGGGTGTCAAGTGTACTGGCGCACTCTATAGTGTACCTTTCCAACTGCTTCAATTTTCTTGGTCAAGTAGGAAACGAGATTTTTAGCTGTGAGGATGAATGGGTACGAACTGAAGGTGTAATGGGAAAAGTATAATAGCTGTTTAGGAATCAATTAATTATGCAAAAGATTCAATAAGCATACATATTGTCTGAGAGAAAATCTGAACAAAAAACTTAATACCACAACTCTCCCCCATACCATATGCCAATGGTGAGATTTAGCTCTAATTCCTCTGCTTGTGCATCTATGGTGGGGTGGGATAACTGATGCTTACATTCATAGCCCTTGGGTGCTACAATATTCAAAAATTTCAAAAAAGATCAAATAATATTCAGTATTCAGTGTTTAAAGAGACAAGAAAATAGGTACCATTTTATTTAGAAAGAATTATATAAGTTTTTGATTAAACTCAGGATACTAAACACTACATCCTGTGTTCCAGACAAGGGAAACCATGTTCATACTGTGCTTGTAGAAGGCATTAAGGGATACAACCATGGCCAGAGTGATGTGACTATTTCAATAAGCAGTTACGCTTGTCACCTGACAGTACCATGTAGATGAATGTCTGCATTACTACTAAGACCAAGAAACAAAAAAAATGCAAAAGATCCGTAGTACCTTTTCATCAGAGCCTGAATCTGTCACTTGTTCACTGAGGTTTCCAAGTTTTTCATTTTCAGAGGTCTCATTAGTAACTTCTAAGGAAATGTTTGTACCTTTGGAATCATGTTTTACCTCATTTGCTGAAAAGAAATAGTATTTAACCACAGAAATTTTAAATGAAATAACCAAATCATTCAAAACTGTTCTAAAAAAATGACATAAGAGTTTAGAAGTTCTTCAAGTCTAATGTGACAAATGTTTACAATTTTCAGCAAACCATATAAATCCCCACTTGCTACCAAAATAACTTCACCACATGGTATAAAAACAATAGACAGTAAGATACTTAATCTTTTTCTTGATGTCTAGCTATTTAAATTTTTTTTAAAAACTTGAAAGCCAAAGTAAAACTAACTTTCACATTACAATTCTGTAAGGATTCAGAGATATAAACTTTGGATTGTTAAATAAATATTCTTAACGACAGATTTAAGATGCAGTAAAGCAGAAATATATATTTCAATTTTAAAATAAATCCTATAAAATTGCTGAGGTCAATTACTTATGTTTTGTAGCTAAAGCAAAACAAAGTTATAATTAAATAGTCAACTGCAAAATATCTCAAAATCTGATCTGAGAAAAACTGACAATCTGTCAGGCATGGTTAGCAGCCTCTAAAATGAAAAGCTTCTTCAGGTAATAAATTTATTTTGACCAGAATGGAGACATAAAAAGATACTTCAATACTGCTTATTTTCAAAACATCAGATTTTACCTGCTGGCAAGGAGGTGCAGACCTCTGACTGCATCAATCTGGGCTCCAGTACAGGACATTCTCTGCGATAAGGGAAGCAGAGCTTAAACACTGCAACAGGTTCTGAGAAGAACTCTGCCCACTTTTCTAAGCAATATTTCTTCCCAGCTCTAGGACAAGTCCAGTTAAGGTCAAGTCCTCCAGCACAGAGGAACGCACTAGGACTCTGAGCCAGCATACCTGCACATTCCCCAGCTGATCTTTAGACACATACACCTCAACTGTTAGTGTCACCATGTCAACACTGTCACTCAGAAAGAACCTGACAAATCATCTTAAATTCTAAATCCAACAGGCTCAGCAAATGACACAGGAACCACTCATATACAAATAGCCAAAGTCTTTCATTTTACAAATTTAGGCAAAAACAAACTACAAAGAATAAAATACGATAATTACCCACAATCCTAACATGCTCATCCAATAAATGAATTTTAGTAAGCATATCCTATAGCTGTACAACTGCTCACTGGTTTAGGATTACTTCCTTGGCAAGAAAGAAAAACTAAATATTTTGTGTTCACTATTCCTCGGAGTTTTTGGAAAAACAAGTACTTTTCCCCCAACATAAAGCCTAGAAGTACACAGCTGAAAGGACTAGAAAATAATGCCAGCAGAACACACACGTGTACATCACCTTCCCTGACCCAGACCCTCCAGACTCCCGTCTCAGTGGCCCCCTGGACTTTCTCTTTCAGGCCCTCAAAGGCCTCCGCAACTCACAGCGTCTCAGTCTGACCTCTCTAATCCTGCCCCTGTGAAAGAGAGATGGTGTGTCTTCTGAGAAAACAGAAATCAGGTATCACCCTTAACTCCCCCTGTCTCATTCTCCTCTAATTAATCAGTCTCCACTTCTTAAACCTTGCTCAGATCCATTCCCATTTCTGTTTGAAGTCACCATGTCCTTTTCATCTCTTTATTACAATAGCTCCCCATCAATTCATTTTCCACATTAGAACTATAATGATTTCTTTTTTTTTTTTTTGTACTGAGGATCAAACTCAGGACCTTGTGATTGCCAGGCAGGCGTGGCACCACTGAGCTACCTCCCTGGCCCAGACCTACAAACTGTGCATGGTGGCACATGCCTGTGGGTGTAATCCCAGCACTCAGGAGGCTGAGGCAGGAGGATCGCCATGAATTTGAGGCCAGTCTGGGCTATATAGTGAGTTTAAGGCCAGCTTGAACTACAGGACGCCCTGTCCCAAAACACAGCCCAACACTGTAAATCAGGCCAGAAGTGATGGCACACACCTGCAATCCCAGCTATTTGGGAGGCTGAGGAAAGAGGATTCGAAATTTGAGGCTGACCTGGGCAACTTCCATACCTGTCTTAAAATAAAAAGGGCTTGGAATATAGCTCAATGGTATCACTGGTAAAACATTCTGGGTTCAATCCCAGAATGGATGGAGTTGAACAGTTGAGCAAGTTAGACAGATGTAAACTACACTATCACGAAATCAGTGTAGTGACTGAGGCAACAAGATACAATGGGAACGGGTAAGGGCTCCTACCTCTGCCTGAAGAAGTCAGAAAAAACCTCCCCTGCACACTTGTGTTCATATAAACCTTCACCTTTTTTGCCCGCAAATTCATTATTTCTCCTCCCCACCGAACTTTTCTTTCTTCTCCTGTGTTAATCTAAACTAATCCAAACTTCAAGGATCAACACAAATTTTTCCTTTTCTGAAATGTCTTTTCAACCCTCAGTTCATATATTTTTGTTTCAGACACATTAGTACCACCCCCGCCCCCAGTAATTCTCCAGAATTTCTGGCAGATTCTTAAAATGTTAACAATCTATAGTATCACTCAACTGGCATTTTAGCACATGTTTTAGTACACCCTTAATTGTCCCACAGCCTCTTCTATAAACATTCTCAGACCATTTCCAGTGATACTTCTAGGTTAATTCAAAAATATTAACAATTTTAGCCACTATACATTGCAAACTCACCAAATCAAGTTTTACTGAATTTTACTATGTTTTGAATGCTGTGGATTTTAATATAGACATTGTTCACCCTGGAAACTGTCAATGAGTAAGTATCTTCTTATGATTTTGCCTTAAAAATTCTAACCAGACTAAGTTTCCACAACAATTAAATCAGCTCAGGTATATCTACTCATTTTACAAGTGAGAGGCCATCCAGACCTTCTGACCAGGCCTTCTACCTTTTTTTTTTTTTTTTTTTGGTACCGGGGATTGAACTTGGGACCTTGCGCTTGCGAGGCACATGCCGGAACCACTGAGCTAAATCCCCGGCCCCTTTCTACCTTTATTTCTGTAAAATAAAAACTCTACCAGGCTACAACCTCTTAAGTGTTTCTTAAAAGAGAGAAAGAAGTTTATGAACCAGTAACTGATTGGTAAAGGGACAGAGCTAAAATTTGAAAATGTATTCTAAGCAACCTTTAGTTCTGGAATCATTAACAAATTTCTGTACAACTACTGATCGATTCTCCGGTTAGCATGCCTTTCTTTTTCTTTTAAGATTTAGGCTTGTACTGTGGGAAGGGTAAAACTAGCATTTCTAGTGCAGGGAAAGAAAAAAAAGAAAAGGAAAAAATAAAATATTAAAATAACTACTGGGGAAATTTTCAGATTTAAAACTCAAACTTCAGAAGCAGACATAAAAGTCAATCTGAGCCAATGAAAATACAACTGATGGTTCTGAAGTGAAGGGAAGGAAATTCAAGGTTAGAAACAGAAAGATTATCTCAAGTAAAAATTTGTGGGCTTGGGGTGGGGGTAGCTCAGTGGCAAAGCCCTTGCTGATCATGAAGCTCTGGGTTCATTCTCAGCACAGAATAAATATAAGAATAAAGAACAAACTTCCTGCATTTTACTTCACATCATTTATCTCTTTCTACCTTTGGCTGTAGCCCATTATCAATATCTAGACATTATCAATGTCTGCTCTTGAATGCACAATTTGTTCTAATTTTCCTTTGTATTCCTCAAAGGAAGCATGGTATAAGAGTTTTAAAACAAACTTCAATTTCTATCTTGTATTGAGCTTTTTGTTCATCCATGCTTGCTTACACACTTTCTGTCCATTCTTTAATCTAATCCTTATAATCGTGAAGAAAGTACTTTATCTTTCACAAGTAAGGTTAAATAATTTGCCTCAAAATTACATAACTATTTGGTGGCAATGAAGACTCAAAAACGAAGGTTAGACCACAAAAGGTCTAGCTCTTAACCACTGGTTTTAGCTAAGATGTGCCCGTGCTTGGATCCAGATTCCATGACTAGCAGTGTGACACTGTGCAAGTGACAACTTGTCACCTTAATTTTCCATCTTCAAAATGTGCAGATTACCATTGCCTAACATAGTTAAAAATAAACCTCTCAGTCCTCCATTTGGCATATAAAAAGCTATTTGGTGATAAGTTCTTATTGCACTAAGAATACTGAGTATGATGATCCAAAGGCAACTAAAAATTTATAAGTACCAAGTTCATGTCCCACCTAGGCAATTTAGCAAGACTCTGTCAAAATAAAAAGAGCCAGGGATTTAGCTCAGTGCTAAGGCCCTGGGTTCAACCCCCAGTATCACATACACACAAAATTTTATCTAATAAAGAAGGCACCAAAAATAGGTTAAATACATAACACCAATATTAAGTAACCGGGCTAAAATAAAGGCTATCTGTATATTTACAATAAAGAACATAAAAATAAGCTGGTGTTTGAAAGAAGCAGTCTCTAACTTAAAAAACCACTTTAGAAAGCATTTTAGATCTTGAAAACCAATCTGCTCTATCATATCTTTCAAGATATACACATAATCCTTTGACTCTTAAATTTTAACATAATGACATTTCTGGGTATCAGCAGTGGTACACTATATATTTAATAAATAATTGTATCAAAAATAATGGCGCTTTAATGATTACTGAATAAATTAGTTACACTTAAGTGACAATTCTTTTGAAACCCCCAACAATAATTGTCCCAAAAGGCATACTTGAGCATGCATACCTTAAATCACTTGGTTCTTTTTCTGGAGCTCCCACGTGTTTGGGGTCAGTTGACTGCCGCTCTGCAGTAACACTGGGCTCCTGGGCTCTTTCGGGGACCTCTGAAACAAATGAGATCTCGCCTTCACTGGAGACTCCAAAGAGGTCAGGGTCATCTTGGATTACATCAATTAAAAGGACATCATCTTCATATGCTTTAAGAATATCTGGAAACTCCACTTTGATTTCAGAAATACTCTTAGTCATTTTTGTATCACTCCCTTCAGAGAAAATTGGCTCAAATGTTTGTTCTTTAGAGCAGAAGGGTCTTTTCTCTATACAACCAGGATTATAAGACAAAGCATTATTTCCAACTGTGAGAGAAACAGGTTCTTTATTAGAAACAATATTTGGTTCAGAGATGTGATCAAATGGTTTGTCATCACCTTGCTTTGTAAAATTTGGAGAAATACTACAGGGATTTTTATTGAAGAGTGAGTTAGAATGAGCTTGCCCTGTAGTTACACTATTTTGTATGCTGAAAGACTGAAGTCTTGAAGTTGCTGCAGAAGCATATTCTTTGTTCCTATTCTGTCTTACCTCTGCTTCAGATAAACTGTCAAGGAGTTCTAGTGGACTGTAAGCTTCTCTCTCTGATGACTTGGCATTTAGGTTTTTTTCTATCTTATCTTTAAGTAAAGGAATTTTAAAATTAGTCAACCGTCCTGTGTTCAATATTTTAACCAAGTCTGGAACTACAAGTGTTTGCTTAGCAATGAAGGCTTTTCGATCAATAGTTTTGTTTGTAGAGGTATTTGCTTCTTGGTCATCCTGGGAAGCCACTGTCAAATTAGGTTTTGTTAAATTTCCTCTCTCTCTTCTTTTACTTCCTGGTAAACTTTGAGTCACATTAGATACCTGAGTATCTTCAATACTATTAGAGACTACCTTTGACCCGCTTCTGCTAAGTTCCTCTGACTTTATCTTGTTATCATCGATTATAGGTTCCTTTATAGCCATCATTATAGGTTCTACTGCAGAAAATGAAGACAAATGATCTAAATTAGAATCCAATTTTTCTTTATTTGAGCATTCAATGTTTTTTTCTGTTAAGGAACTTTGTAACAATTTGAAGTCAGATAAGTGAGTCTGGTTTGTTTGATGTTTAAGAAAATCATCTTGCCTAAAATTTTCCGGAGATCCAGGAAGTGAGTAATTTGAGTTTGGCACAGTAGCCTTTTTCCAACAATAGGCAGATATTCTAGCACATGAATATACAGGCCAAATTCTTTTGCCAGTCACTGGTATTGTTCTGCGACAGTTTAGCTTTAATTCTTCAGCTTTTCTCAAATCTTCCTGTGAAGATCTCTTTTCAAGATGATGGCTATCACTAGGTGATTCCACTATAATAGAGCTTGTCACTGTTTTAAAATACTTTTCTGGCTCTGTAGTACTTTTACATGTTAAGGACTCTGAAGCATTCTTTGTTTCTTTCAAGAGCGGTTCAAAGGTTTTTGGAAACATACCATTTACATGACATCTGGCACTTGGTTTTTCTTCTGTTTCTGGGAGACTCGATAAATGATCCATTGGAGAGAATGTATTGTGTTTTTCCTTTCTCAAAACTTTTAAAGGATTTTTTTTAGCCTCTGAAGTCTCTGCTTCTTTCCCCTCCATACCTATTTGGTTTTCTTTCAATACCAACTCAGACTCATTCCACCTGGTAGAGAAATTTGTCTCGATAACTGTTTCTTTCTTTTCAGACAACTTCATCTTTTTTCTGGGCTTTCTCCCAACATTGCCCTCCTCCACTGAATATTTATTGTTTTCGCTTAGAGAGCCATTCCTTTTACTTTGGTATACATCACTTTTTTCAAGCAGTAATTTATTTATTCCCATTAAATTTTCTTCTGTTTTTAAGAGCTTAGGAATACTGTTTTTGTCACTCTTCTCTGCAGATCTCCTGTTTCCTTTCTTTACCTTCAAGGAATTTTCTGCTACATGAATAAATCCACTGTCAGGTTTCTGCGCAAAGCTATTATCATAAACCTTGGAAGGGGGGAAACAATTGCAATCATGTAACTTGAAAATGAAATTATTTTCTACTCCAGGTGTCAAGTTGTTACAAGAATATTCTAGAGTATTCTTGTACAGATCATCTTGGAATTCAACTTTAGTATTTTGCGTAGTCTCATTTTCAGTCATTCTAGAAGGTGAGCTTTCTAAATTTTTAATTTTTTTTTGGTACCAGGGATCGAACTCGGGATCTTGCGCTTGCAAAGCAGGCAGCGGAACCACTGAGCTAAATCTCTGGCCCTAAATTTTTAACTTTTAAAATTCAAAATCATTTTTTTTAATACCTTCTACCAAACCTTCCTTAGCCAAAGACTTCAAGAAAGCTGAAATGAATGTGAAATTTATCACATTCCCCTATGTGGAAAGATTTCAAAGTAGTTAATAATTCTTTTCTTACCAGGTCACTCCCTGGCTGTAGATCATCACTTGAGGCTTCAGTAATTTTTCTTTTTTCTTTGGCTGATAAAAAGAAAACATTTTTTTTTTTTTTTTGGTACCAGGGATCAAACTTGGGTCCTTGTGCTTGCGCAGCAGGCAGCGAAACCACTGAGCTAAATCCCCGGCTAAAAAGAAAACATTTTATACTGAGGAAGAAAAAGAAATACCAGTCTATATAAAAAATTGTGAAGCCACCCATTTTTATTTCCCTGAAATAAGCTGTATAGAAATACAAGGGCGGGCCAGGGATTTAGGTCAGTGGCACTGTGCCTGACTCGCAAAAGCAAGGTCTTGAGTTCAATCCCCAGTACCAGAAAAAAAAAAAAAAAGAAAAAAAGAAATAAAGGGTGATCAAAAACTGATGTGTTTATATTTTTTAAAATTACAGTAAGACACTGCCATTAATTCCCTTCAAAATACTTTCTCTCCCTTCAAACACAGTTATCCCATGGTTTTGGCCACTTTCTAAGGTAGTTCTGGAAGTCCTTTCATGAGCCTTTTTTTTTTTTTTTTTT